GCTTTTGAATGGACATTCCTGGCCGGAACAGCTGTGACTGCTTGTGTATCTAATTGCAAGTGAGGTGAAGGCTGCACAGGTCTGTCCCACTCCAAAGGGCATTATTCTCACTGCTGCGGCGCCTCCTGTGGGTAGCTCTGGGGAATTAGCCCTTTCTCAGGAGGGTGCCCCCTCCTGGCGGCGTCTTGCCTGGCTACGGTCCATGCTCATGTTCCAGACGCGCATTGCTCCAGGAACGTGGCGCCCTCTGCAGGACAGGGCCCTCCAGCAGTGCCCGCTCCAATGGGCTCTCACCCCTCTCCTGGGCCATGTTGACAGTCCTGAGTCTCTACTGCCCTTGTGGCCCACTGTGGCCTCCAAGACCAGCCCCTCTGCCTCTGGGGCACACAACAGCCTCTATGGGCCATGCGTTGGTGGTGAGATGCAACGTCCACCCACTACTCTGGGTCCCAAACCAGGGACCCTCTGGCAGCCGCCTTGTCCTGCTCTCCCTCCCTTTCCCACCTCCTGTTCCCCTTCCCCGTGACCCTTGCACCCTCCTGGCTCCTATATCAAGGCCTGCAGCCTGGCAGGTAACTGGTTGGATCTTTTCTCCCATTCCCCTGAGCCTGCCCAGCACTGTTCCCTCTCGGGTGCTTCTGCTTGGGAACCAGTTCTGCTCTCTCTCTGGTCAGAATCCAACTGCCCTCTGCTCTGCTGAGCAGCTCCTTATAACACGGCTGCCCCTGCAAGCTGCCTTTTGATTGGCTCCTTCTAAGAGCCCTTTTCTCATTGGCTGTAGCGGCCCACCTGGCCCCCCCTTAATCTGGCCCTGCTTGTAGCAAGGCCACAGCCGGGCAGGGATTAAGCTGGAGCCTCCCTCTCTAGCCCCCCTGGGTCTGCCCAGCACTGCTCTACTGACGGTGCCTTCTCTGAGGGAACCAGGCCCTGCACCCTCCTTGGCCAGGCCCTCACTGACTCTCTCTGAGGGCAGCTCTCTCTCTATAGGGCTATTCCAGCAAGCTGCACCCTGCTCGGCTCTTTCAAAGCCTCCCTGCAATGGGCCAGGGCTCTGCCCAGGCTCCCTCCAGTCTGCATTGACCCTTCCCAGCCAGTGTGGGGCCGTCACCCCACAATAGACAGGTATTTGCATATTTGGCCAATTATCTCAGGAAATGAAGGGTCACTCCTGGGCATTAGATTTAACCGTGTGACCATGGGAAATCGGGTTTTGTGTCTCTGTTTTGTCCCGTTCACCACACCCGGAAAGTGTTCGGTGAAAAAGTGAGATGACTCTTGAGGAAGAAGGCGTCATAATCCAGGGGCACCTTCTCCAATTTTCTTCACATTTGGTACAAGTAAGTAAGTCACCTTGGCAACCGACCGTGGGTAAAATGCTCAAATCATTCAAATCCCTTGGCACCATCCCCGAGGGACGTACAGACACACGCTACTGACCTGCCACCTTTAGTTCCAGGACGGCTTCTTCATAAAAGGCACCATCTTGAACAAAACAGCGGTACTGCCCTTCGTCAGAGAGTCTGACGTGGAGAATTTTCAAAGTAACATTCCCCTGTTCATCTTTCAAGAGCTCTGTCCTCTGCTGGTATTCTGGCATCTGCTGCTCGTACTGGTCCTTTCCATCGCTATAGCGATGGACAAATTGGAAGAGCTGGGACCGGAACCAAGTCACCTCCATGTTCTCAGTGCTCATCCTGGGGGCCAGGTGACAGGGTAACACGATCTCCTCCCCCACCACGGCCGTGACAGGCCGGTCAGGTCCCATCACTTTAAATTGTGCTGTGGAATGTCCCAGGAGAGAAGGGAGAAAAGCTCAGAGAGAAGATCTTGTCCATTCAGTCAGTGGCACACACAAAACCGGTCCTGTTTGCTGTAGTTTGTATTCCCTGGAGATACTGGGAGGAGACCCGGCACAAGGAGATGCTACAAGCCTATGGACCTTGTAGGCTGGGCTGGAGGGAGACCCCAGATAAGAGAGCTAATGCCAGGGAGAAGATTCCTTCCACTTTGAGCCTGAGGACAAGTGGCCACCAGCAGAGCAAGTGTCCGACCCACGGCATCCCTGTGGCACAACCAGGAGCAGGGTGACGGGATTTCCTTTTTCAATGTAGGAAGTGCCCAGTGCAGAGACAGCACCATGGAATGAGGACAACTCAGCCCCCACCTTAGATTTAGTCCTGCAGGAACCCTGGGCCCAGCCTTGCTGAGTTCCAAGGACTCTGCCACAAGGAAGGTGGAAGTGGAGCCCTCGAGGTCTGGGAGGCCGCTGGGGCTGTGTCTGCCCTGCCAGAAATAATAATTCATTCCCCAGATAACTATTTAGAAATAAGCTTTTTCCTCTTCCCAAACAGGAGTTTTTATTTCGAAATCACAGGCTTGGTCATATGACACTTGCCTCGTTATTTCGAAATAAGGGGAGTTCTTTTGCAATGACTGCCCAGTGTAGACAGGCCCTGGGTAAAGTCGTAGGAGCGAGGACTCAGATCCTGTCACTAGCCCATCTCACTGTGGTAGTACAGAAGCCAGGAGAGTTCCACAGTAGCAGGACCATCCACCCGCTTACACTGAGCTTGCTGTGTTATGTTTACACACTGTGGGTACGTCTGCACTGAACGCTTATTTCAAAATAGCACGTCTGCACTGCAGGGAAGCCTCAAAACTAGTCTGAGGCAGACTCGTAGACGGGCTACCTTGATGTAGAGCCCCAGGAGGCCCCAGGGAGGAATAACTTCGAATGGCTGTGGTGAGGGGTTATTTTGAAATAGCAGCAGTGGAGCGTCTAGACGTGCCTTATTTTGAAATAGCTATTGCGGAAGAGGCATTATTCCTTATGGAATGAGGTTTACAGATTTTGGAATAAGCCGCCCATTATTTTGAAATTATTTTGAAAGAAAGGAATGGCTGTGCAGACACCCACATTGTTATTTCGAAATAACGGTGCAGTGTAGACGCACCCCGCATCTTGTTAAGACACTTCTGAGACTTAAGCCCTCTAAGAAACAGCAGCCCCAGCGCAGAGTCCTACCTGATTCCATGCTGCGCACATAACAAGTCAGGAAGAAAAGAAGAAAACCAGGCAGAGGGGAGCTGGCTCTGGCGCTCTGGCAGATGGAGGGAACCTTCATCTTCCCTGAAACTTCATCTATACAACAGGAAGGAGCAGGACCATCCGCCCGCTTACACTGAGCTTGCTGTGTTATGTTTACACACTGTGGGTACGTCTGCACTGAACACTTATTTCAAAATAGCACGTCTGCACTGCAGGGAAGCCTCAAAACTAGTCTGAGGCAGACTCGTAGACGGGCTACCTTGATGTAGAGCCCCAGGAGGCCCCAGGGAGGAATAACTTCGAATGGCTGTGGTGAGGGGTTATTTTGAAATAGCAGCAGTGGAGCGTCTAGACGTGCCTTATTTTGAAATAGCTATTGCGGAAGAGGCATTATTCCTTATGGAATGAGGTTTACAGATTTTGGAATAAGCCGCCCATTATTTTGAAATTATTTTGAAAGAAAGGAATGGCTGTGCAGACACCCGCATTGTTATTTCGAAATAACGGTGCAGTGTAGACGCACCCAGTGAGAAGTTCCACTGACTCCAAGTTGCGCATCTTGTTGCGACACTTCCGGGACTTAAATTCTCTAAGAAACAGCAGACACAGCGCAGAGTCCTACCTGATTCCATGCTGCGCACATAACAAGTCAGGAAGAAAACAAGAAAACCAGGCAGAGGGGAGCTGGCTCTGGCACTCTGGCAGATGGAGGGAACCTTCATCTTCCCCGTAACTTCATCTGGACAACAGGAAGGAGAAAAGAAAAACTGACCACAGTGAGCAGGACACTGACTAGCATTAAGGCCAAGTCTAGACTGGCAAGTCGGGTATTGTAGACATACCCGATAAGAACAGTAGAGAGACCGTAGGCCCTGCACCTGTACTAGGGCTTCAGTTCAAAATAACCCCCTTAGGTTGAATTGATAGGTGGAGCATCCACCCTAACAAATCCCTTCTTTCAAAATAATGGACCGCTTATTTCAAAATCTGGACTCCTGCTTTCCTTGGGGAATACTATTAATTTTGAAATAGCTATTTCGAAATAGCATTAGTGTGGATGCTCCAGTGCCATTATTGCAAAATAACTGCTCCCCAGAGGAATCTGAACTAGTTACCCAGTGGTCCCCAACCTTTTGGGGCTACCGGGCGCCTGGGGCGGGGCCATGCACGTTTCTGGGGGCGGGGCCACCCATACGGCGCGCGCCCGGTGCTGGTGCCACCCATGTGCCTCACTCCCGGGGCTGGCACCACTCCTGCGCTGTGTGCCAGGGGTGGGACTGCCCATACGCCATGCGATTGGCCGGAACAGCCCATGCACTGCACACCCGGGGGCGGGGCCACCACCACCCATGTGCTGCATGCCTTGGGCCGCCGTCACTCCTGTGCTGCGCACCCAGGGCCGGTGGCACCCCTGTGCCGTGCGCCCAGGGGCTGGCACCGCCCATATGCCGCATACCCGGAGCTGGCACAGCCCTTGCGCCGCACACCTGGGGGCGGGGCCACCACCACCCATGTGCTGCATGCCTTGGGCCGCCGTCACTCCTGTGCTGCGCACCCAGGGCCGGTGGCACCCCTGTGCCGTGCGCCCAGGGGCTGGCACCGCCCATATGCCGCAAAATAGGCAGGAGTTTATTAAGTCAAATTTGCACCTGGGGGCAGGGCCACGCAAACACTGTGCACCCGGGGCCAACGCTGCCCATACACTGTGCACCCAGGAGCATGAGTGGGGCTGGCCCCTTTCACTTAGTGGGCGCACAGAAATAGCCCGGTGGATGCCATGACACCGCATTGGAGACCACTGAGGGTATGTCTACACTACAGCACTAATTCGAACTAACCTAGTTCGAATTAGTCAATTCGAACTAACGCATCCAGACTAAAAAACTAGTCCGAATTAGCATTTTGCTAATTCGAACTAGCATGTCCACACAGAGTGGACCCTGAACCGAGGTTAAGGATGGCTGGAAGCAGTGCCGGCCGGGCATCAGATGAGGACTTAGAGCGTGGAGCTGCTGTCTCAGGCTAGCCG